CTTAGAATATCAAGGATCACAAGGTATTGAGCCACTTTAATAGGCTTTCTAAAAATATGTTTTTAGTGAACATGTGATATGATTTATGGCATTGCAAGCGAATTCTTAATGTCTTTTCTAATTGAACGCTAGAGCACTTACCAAATCATGCATTAGGCTATGTGATATCTGCTAGCCGTTCGTGATATCCTTTCTCATTCGTTCCAGTATTTGTTGAGTGCATTATGCACATTATATCTGCTATTAATGTTTGCTTTATTATCTTTATTCCGTTTCTTAGATCAGCAGTTTATTGTGCGCAACCTTCTTGTTGCTCGCAGAAAGACTTCATTGGAGATATCGAAAAGCAGTCAACTGGCAGTTCATCGGTTGAACGATATTCGACATTTTGAGCTTTTTAGACGGGGTAAACTGTCAATATATTGTGCAGTATTATTGAGCAATGAATGAATTTCCGGCTGATATTGATTCGGCTTTTGGATTTCGATTATTCGATGAACAGATCAAACTTATCGCTGATGTGCATATCGTATTTTGTCAATGGATTGTCTTTGAATTTCGTTTTTATGAGTCATAAAGTGTCACTTCTGATCAGGGAAGGGAGCCGCCGTTCAAACGCTCCATAAAATTTTATGTTTGCTTGAGAATCAGAATGCTTCATGAAAAGTTTTATCTGATTTTATAACTTTGGTAGGCAATCCTATCATTTGATTTACTATGTGGGTGCTGCGGACAACACAAACCTTGATATGAATAGGTAATAATCTGACGATACATCATGCCTGCTGATGACGAAAACGAAAGTTCACATCATCCGTTCACGTATTACTTATGATATTGTTATCAGTAAACTTTCAGTTCTCCATTGTCAAGTATAGCGCCAGCCAGCTGTTCATTCAATTTCCCCGATGTTTTCATGGTGTCTTACGGTCTCATTTGCTCAACTGTTTTTGTTTTCATTACCTTGAAAGTGAACATTTATCTCAGGTGTACATCACAATGAATGAAATAAATGTGGAATAGTTATTATAACAACTTCTCTATTTGGTTTGTTCCGTTGTTCATTCGTACGTTTACATTATATCACATATCGTATAACGCGTGGCAATTCATCGTCGTCACTCACCATTGTGCAAATTTATTACATTATTACAGACGTGTCTCGATGCCATCCAACCGATGTCAGTATTTCTCTAGATAAACGTGGCAATTTCTAGCAAACGCTTGATACATGAAGCTATGATGATTTGTTTTATACAATTCAATATCAATATTACAGCCGATATAAGCAAATGAGCGTTGCCCGATCAACGTGGCAGTCTATTGTTCGTGTTTGAAGAATTATTGTGTGTGTTTTACGTTCGTTGTGCTGAAATTGAGGCTTATACACTTGTCACATGAAAGTGCAGATTCAATGATGAAAACACAGCAGATTTCTCTCTTGAGACGTGCCAATCATTTTGTAAAAACATGAACGTTGATAATCGGGGCAATGTCTTATCAATGCATCGTTTTTAATTTTCAAAATTATTTTTACCGTCTGCAGATGTCATGTTAGGCGATAGCCTTGGTGTGTGGAGAACTAAATACTTGCATTCATATAGGTGACATGACATGATATTTGCTTTGTGTGCATTACATTTGTTAATTTTGATTTGTTTGTTTGAATAATTTATCTTGATTTGAGAGTGTTATCCATCAATGCGCGAAAATATTGTCCGTTTAGTTTTCCATAGTGCTGTCTGTCTTCTTCGATAGAACTTAATGAATTCCAATAACTTGATCGTGAGGCAAAACGTCATCCTTTCATAAATTATGTTTTGCAATGATTTTTATTGCTTATCGAGCGGAAATTTTGCACGCAAATAATCCGATAATCCTAGGAAGCAATCCTTTGAAAAAAAAATCACAACCCATTAATTCATGCAACTCATTCGTAAATCGTTAATCTGGTCATTTTTTTCATTTCATCGTCCTTTGGAATATTCGTTGTTTATGATCGACTATCATTAATGTTTAACGTCGTCTATCTACTGATCATTTCTATTACGCAATTTTCCATTTCCTTCAATTTGATTTCAGGTGCGGTTCCGTGCATTCGTCTACCCGTATCACATCCATCGAAACTACGTCAGTAATTCACTCGTTTGAAACATATTGATTGATTAAAGGCAACTGGAAACGAAAAATTTTAATGTAAGAAAGACAGAGGAGCAAATGGAAAAGGACGAATAAGCCAGTTAAAACAATTTTTTGACTAAAGGAGGGGAGCTTAAAGTACGGTGATTTAATTGCTGACTGTTGATGATCCGCATATCCTGTCGCCTATCAGCATCTCATCCAGTCAACTTCGTCATCTTACCGCACATATCGGCTATCGATCATACTTCTCCGGTGTTTGGTTCTGAGTGGTGAATTGTCGTATTGACCGTTTTCAATAGACTCAACAAATATGCTAGCCGTGAGACGCTGTTCGAATTCGTTATTCTTTGTGGCCGTCGGTGTGTTGATTGGCTTTGCCATGTCGCTTTTTTGGCCGTCTGAATTGGTGACGTTAGGTGCATCACCGAGGCGGACAGCGGATGGATTTCGAGGCGACAGACGAGGTGGTTCACTGAATAAAGCGGGTGATCATCACCATGATGCCCACTCGGAGTCTGAAGTTGACGATTCAAATGCACCGTTGTTGCCAATGCATTTCCATGGGAATTCTTCGGACCCGCATGAAGGTAGGTATCTTTTTTTTAGAATTATTGTTGTTGATGACATTACTTTCATTGTTGTTCCTATCATTATCATCGTTCTTATCGTTGTTCGTTTATTGATTCCTGCCTTTTTTTNTTTTTTTCTTTCGTTTTAGTTTTTAGTTAGAAATACTTATCTATCGATTAATTTATCATTTGATTGCAAAACCGAAACCATTTCACTAATCCGTTTTTGGATGCTCTGTTTGGGTTCTTAAATTCAATTGTTTAAACAGCTGCTGCCATCAATGTAAACTCATTATGATTGTTTAATGGAACTGTGAGATTTCTCTATTTCATTTTTACGTTTTTCGTTTGCGCACTCCATAAAACTTTGCAGTGCTTTTTTGGAATGAATCTGTGAACATTTTGCAGCTAACAAGATTGTTCCCAAAGATTCAGCTGATTTTTAACATACTAAACATATTTAAACATACTCAACATTTTAAACATACAATCAGTCAATTTCTTTTCCCGCTTTTGAACATTCTCTTTTGCTTGAATTTTTTTTGCAGAAAAAATTTGGATGTTTTGAAGCACTTTTAATGCTGGTGTATCAACGTCACTGTAGAATCACTGATAATAATGATATCATCTTACTTTGCATGTTGTCTGATTGTGAACAAAGCCACAGTCTGCATTTGAATTGAATCAGTTTGAATCATTAATGAAGCAAATGCTCCGGCTGTTTTGTTTCCGATTCTTCCGTTTGTAACGTTTCCGTTCGTTAAGGTGATAAATTCTTTTAGGTGAAGATTATTTGGCCAAATTAATCGAGAAGAAAGTTCGTGTTTTGTGTTGGATTTTAACAGGTAAACAGAATCACGATAATCGTGCAAAGCATGTGAAGGCAACCTGGAGTAAACGATGTAATAAGTGAGTTTCAAATGAAGAATATCGACTGATGTTTCTGATGTTTTTGGTGAGTTCAGTGAATATAACGAAACTGCAAAAATTGGAAAAAAATATAAGTGATGGAATAAACTATTCTCGTATTATATCACTCTTTATAAATCAATAGTACATGTGGAATTCTTGTTCTGGGATGGAATCAATCATAGAGCACAGGTCACCGATAATTCGGCAAGCAGATAATACGGAATAGAAAAGAAGAAAATTTTGAATAGCACTTGATTCTTGACCGTTTTCATTTTCAGATATATATTCATGTCGTCTGAAGACGACCCATCGTTGCCTGCAATCAACTTGAACATTTCTGAAGGACGAAATCATTTGTGGGCGAAAACGAAGAAGGCGTTTAAATATGTTCATGACCATTATTTGGATGAGTACGATTGGTTTCTGAAAGCTGACGATGACACATATGTTATTGTGGAGAATTTAAGGTGTGTACTGAAAATGGACTTTGATGGGATAAATGTTTGAAATGCATCGCTAAGCTAACAACGAAGCTAGCAACGAATCCATACCACATATATGATAAACTTATCTTTAAGTATAAATGTGGAATTGATCTAGTCTTTGATGTTTTTTTTTGCTGCGGATTTGAACCGAAGAAATCTGTTCGGTTGTTTTAGTAGGTGATTGCTGGAGTTGATAGTTTGTTTCGTTTCGTGTTTCGATTGTGTTTCAGTTAGAATTGATTTCAAATTAGGTTATTATCGACTAAATATGAACTTATGAAGTTTTATAGAGATTTTATAATTTGGTTGTTTGTTTACCCATCGTTTGTTTAGTCATCTTTTAGTTGTCTTAATTAGATAGAACATCTTATTAGATCATTTTTAGGTATATGCTGTTGGCTCATGATCCAAGTGAACCGGTTTTCTTTGGTTGTAAGTTTAAACCGTTCACGAAACAAGGCTATATGAGTGGTGGTGCCGGCTACGTGCTATCTCGTGAGGCTCTCAAAAAATTTGTCGCCGAAGGCTTGCCGGTTAGTCGCATGTCATCGTGTATTTTCCGAAGTTTTTTTTCTCCGTTCTTGTTCTTAGAGTTTCAGTGAATTCTGTCTAGTCG